AACGAAATAAATCGAAATTTTTGCTTAAATCGATCGAAATTTTTGGTTTAAATCGAAAGAATATTTCCGTGTCCCTGACGCGACTAACCTATTCTGGTATACATATGCGCACATATGGTATACATGAAACGTGACCACATATGCCCATATTTGCACGAAGTACTGTAAACAATATAAAACACAATTAAATCAAAAGCACGTGATTAATATAAATGCTAGCCGACTTTATGCTATTCCTAAAAAGGAACAGCCAATTAAAGAGTACAGGTTTTATTATTCCGGATCATCCCCCATAGAATTCGAGACATAGAAAAAAGCGGGAATGCGAGAAAACTAGGGTTAATCGTACTGATCATCAATGACAAGAATGAAAAATACCTTTTTAGGTGTTGACATTTATTCGTGCAAATAAGTAAATTCTATTGTAGTTCCCTGTTGAATTAGCATTTATTCTTGCAAATAAGTAAATCTATTATATGTCCTGTTGAATTGCCATGACGCAATGATAGCCTGCAGAGTCATTGCAGTAGTATGCTCTTTTCAAAGAATGTGTAAAGTAAATGTTTCATTGATCGAGAAAAAGACAAGGATTATACAATTTGTAAAAAAAAAAAAGATGCAGGAAACCGGTATTTTTAATTTTTTTCAAAAATTTTGTGTGAAATTTTATGTATGAAACTTTATGTATGAAATTTTTTTATAACAAACCTCCAGCGTAGTAAATATATTTATGTTCAGCAGAATATTCATTTCATTAACTCTTGTGGTAATAAAATAATGAATATTAATATTGTATTTATTTGAGATTCAGTAATAATCTTGATCGTGAAAGATGGACAGAGTTAAGATTAAAGTGAAACTTTGAAATATCAGAATTCGAATCCAAAAGGCATTTGTCTTGTTTGATAATTGGGGAGAGACTGTCACATTGAACTTTAACGGTAATTGTATTACAATACGAGGCCTCTACTTGCTAATTAATGGAGAAACCATTTATGTGTTGCCAAGACATGCATTTGTCACGTGACCATACCAAATTGAAGGCAACAAAAGGTGGAAACATTTTTAGTTTACCAACGGTCAATCTGATTTCCTTTTTTTTTATTAGTGTTTATATTAATGTTACTATCTTTTCACTACAGTCATATTTACTTTTACACTTATTGCATGCTAGGAAACACACCATTAATTTGATATATTTTTGTTTATCCCCAAAAATTCAGCTATAAGATTTAAACAGTAGATCAAATATAGTAATTCCGAATGAATTTTTAACTTGGTACAATGAATAATCAGGAATAATTCTATATCATGCATATACCTGTTTGACCAAATTCACACAAAATAATAATCAAATGTATCTTATACGAATTAATAATTAAATCAATTATGATAAATCGTAGTTTAATATTTGAATTTGGATGATATTGGTACCATTCGATCTACTTCATTATGCTATCATAATCAGTGAATTTAATTGGAAGTATGTACGAATTTGTTTCCAAAAATATTTTTGTTTTCTTTCTTTGTTAATTTTGAATCATAAAAGAACTTGTCGCCTAGCATAGAATCGTCCAAATTAGTAACACTTATATGTGATATAGCAAATATAAATGCTAGTTAGTAGTTGATCGTTAGGCATCATGTACATTATGTGACGCGTGGTAGGATCAATTATAATGTATAAAAAGGAAACAATAAATAACAATAATTATAGCGCATATATGCAGTTGACCATAAAAGTAAATCGATTTGTGATACCATGCATTTGGTTTCTGATCACGCGAAATGAATATTCGATTATTTCTATTATTTAAGCATTATTTGAACAAAAAAATTGTACCTCTTTAACATTTTTGAGCATAAAAGGAAGACAGAACCGGAAATGGTAAGTGTAAAAAGTCAGAAAAGATTAAACCAATGAAATATTTTGCATAATTGAACTTTATTTAGCATTCAGTTATAATATATAGTATAAAATTGAGTTTTTTTATGAAGTCAAAAATAGACTAGCACTATCAAAAAAAGCCAGCAGTTCCTGACCAAAATCGGCTTTGTGATATCAAGATTATTTAAGACAAGATCATTACTGTAAGAAGACCCATTGTCACGGGACCTCAGATCTTTTTTTAGAAGGGGCTAGTTTAATCCTTTGAAATTATCCTTAAATTATCCTTAAATTATCCTTAAATTATCCTTATCGATTGATCAGTAATAAGCATTATCAAAATCATCTTTATGCATTAAAGCATTAGGATAAGCGATTTGTTTTGCTTATCCATCATTGTGTGCATGTAATGATATGTGTGATGCATTACATTGTTGTCACGGAATTCTAATTTTTTTTTCTTTTTTTTTTATTTGTTTGAATGATCGTATTACGGATCACAGCTTCGAATGAGTTACCAATTCATACCAATTCCTTGCTTCTAGTCAAGATTCCATAAAATAAGTAGCATTGGACGCGACTTGAGTAACATTGAACAAAGATTCGGTAATGAGTGTGTGCTTTTTCATGAATAAGATCAACTATCTTCTTGCTTGTACATCTACATAGGCGATTATAAATACATTGGTCGATAGGAATTGTGATTTCCTTTTCTATATCAAATGAATGAGATAGATAGCGGCTTTGTTTGTTTTTTTTTTTAATTCAATGAGCCAATAACTTTTTCGAGAAATAAGCAGTGTGTTTACGTCTAAGATCAGTACATGGTACAGTATCTATTTGGTATTGATTTGATCCTGTTTTTTTTTTTTAAACAATAAAGATTAAAATAGGTTTATAGAGTTAACAGTGCATGAATATCTTCGTTAAACGGATCTCAGAAGAATGATTTTGTATTCGCGACAACATTTTGGGTCACATTAAATGATAATCATTCATCTTCGTGAATCCAAAATACTATAATATTTATGTATCTTTTAATAAGGTTTCTTAAAACGGCAAGCAGTACAAATCAATATGATGTTTTAATGTTTTTCCTAGTCTACAAACATGAGGTTACATCTTAGCAATTAGTGCATTTATTCAGACAACATATATACAGTATTATATATATACAGTATATCATGATAATGTTTAATGAAGTTAAAATATACGTTCCATTTTATGGTCCTAAAATATCTATATTAATAAGGAATGCGTATAAATCATTATGACCAAAATTTACTATCGCTACACGTCCTATATTACGCATTAGTGACGTCACCATTTTTGTACGTATGAGGCAAGGCATTTTCGATCGTATCCGTGCAAATGCTAAATTAAGAAATTATGAATCGATCACGCCACATTTCTATTAGTATCACCATATTTTATATATTTTATTTGTTATTTCGTGGATTAAAACGTCTTATGTTCGGAACGACTTTACAAATTGTAAGTGGTGTGATATAGTCAAAATAAAAAAAAAAGTCCCTCCTAAAAAAGAAAACAAATGATTCTGTTACCCGTGGCTGACCATGCACTCACAAAATTTTTTGAAAATGCTTATGTACGACTGTACGTACGCATGTATTTACCTATCATTTCTTGCCCCCATAATTTCAAAACTGTGGCGACACTGCTTGTCCAAGCTCGGCCGGAAAGTTATTAAGCTTAAAATTCTTCCCTTATAACTTATTTTCCTTAAATTTCAAATGTTCTATGTGCCTTATTCGCTTATTAAAATAAACTTTGTATACATGCTTAAATTATTTGTGCACTGCAGGGTATTCGATTATCCATAAAAACCCTTCTAGTATTCACCACTTTCCATCGGTGATAAATATCCCTATCCTGAATTTTCTTCTATCCACACGTATATTAGACATACGTATATACGTTGTTATTTTTCAACATGTCCTCTCAATTTACAGTGCATGCAGCCCCTTCGAGAAGATATCCTACACCTAATTTCGCTACATTCACCCCACCGATTAGCCTACCATTTCCACCTACAATTAAGGCCGCTGATATTGTCGATAGAAGAAATTCTTCACAATTGACTATGAAAAGTCCTAACGCATTCTTTATTTACCGGAAAGCATTTTTAGATCATCTTTCCAACACTTACCAAGATCTTAAAATGACCGATGTTTCTAAGTTAGTTGGAATTTGTTGGAGAAACGAACCTGAGATCGTTAAAGATGGTATTTAAATTTATTGTTTCAGTTTTTCTCTTATAAGTGTTATTTTGTTGAAATCTATCTATTGTATAGAATACAGGAAACTTTCTAAGCAAGTTGAGGTCGAGTTAAACGACAAGCGTCAAAGGAATATATCTTTTCGTAGGGTCGTCTGGAAAAATTCAAAAATCCATGAACTCTCATCACGAAGACAAAGAAGAAAAAGAACCCAAAAAAAAAAGACCTCTCGCAAACTTCAAATTGACTACACCTGATTATTCTTCTCAGCAATATGTATTTTATGAGTTCATTCCAAATTCTTCCGATCAAACTTCTGACTCAACTTCCGATCCAACTTCTGATTCAACCTTTGATCCAACTTCTGATTCAATCTCTAATCCAACTCCTGATATATCACCTTTAACTTCTCCAACCATCAAAGACACATCACCATTTTTTACAAATCCTATTACAGACGTAGCTTATGAAACTACCGGTCATGATGTCAGCTACCAAAATAAATTCAATGAGGATAGAGAAATTTCACCTATGACCGAATGTGTTGGGCTTTCGGAAGTTATTTTTAATGGCCATGAATATCCGAACTCTTTTTACGACGTTTATATCCAGCAGCAAAATGAATTTTATTCACAGGAATTCCCTTAATGACAACTCGATTCTAAAATTTTAAAATCCGTCCGTGAATTAATGTACTTTATATATATATATATACATGTGTATAGAATATGTCAAAATATAAAAAAAAAATTATTATGCAGATTTATAGATTAATTTATGATTTATTTATGATTTTTTTAAGATTTATTTAAGATTTATTAAGATTTATTTAAGATTTATTGATATGAAATTTATGATTAAAGTTAAGGTTCGCTATTAAGTTTTTAAAAAATAAAGTGGTTCTGCTATATATACCAATAAATATACCAGTTTCGATTTTGTTATTTATCTATCATTGTCAAAGAAAACAACTAGTTGCATAAATTGTCGCAAGATTTATTAATAGCAAGAATGATTTATACTATACTTGTTAATTATAAAGATTGGAATGGATGAATTTAAACGTTTATTTTATCGTAACTCAAATTTTTCGGGCGTCAATTAATGTTTTCTTTTTTTTAAATCATAAAGCCAAGTTTCTTAATCAGACCGCTAAATCTAACTTATCCGTCCTGTGACCTTTTGGGTGTCCTCTATATGTTTCAAATTATTGTGTGTAATTTGGGAATCTATTCATTATTCATAAAGTCGTATTGTTTTTTTTTTTTTAAATAGAAATAATTTTATAAAATTATAATTATATGGTTTTTTTTCACAAAGAAATTTTTGTAAATAACAGAATTGTGTTATACGATAAACGTGGGATTTTTGCCTTGAAAATCACCCTCCAACATTTCCGATCAGGCTAATTCGGACAAAAATATACCCAAATTCCGGTTCATCTCAATAGTTTATTCAATAGATTATTATTAATATAAACATGAGCCGGTATTGACGCCGAATTAGGCCGATCGGAAATGTTCGAGGTAGAGTGGACGGGGAAATGTGATGTGCATATATGTGCATATGTGACATGTTTTTCGTGAATCATATGTGAACATATG